AAGATGCCCCCCCAGAGGCCCCAAAGAGGCCCCAAGAGGCCCCCCACGAGGCCCCCCACGAGGCCAACCACGAGCCCCGAGAAGCCTTAATGGGCCCCCAGGAAGCCCCAAGAAGCACCAAAACTGCCCCCAAGAGGCCTCCAAAGGCTTCAAAACTGCCTCCCAGATGCCCCAAAGAGGCGAACCACGAGATCCCAACCAACATCCATGAGGCATCAGGCCCACCACGTTGGCACGGTGGCGGGATAGGCCGAAGGCCATTAGATATTCAAAGGAATCAATGGGGCGGCGCGTAATTGACGCACCGTGCTACGCAACTATGCACCACAGGGCACCACGCAGCCGAACCACAGCACCGCATAACCCAAGACATAGGAGGAGGAGGCATAGAGGAAGCAAAGGCGCTGCTCAGGACACCAGCGCAGAGGAGGAAAGATTTAGGACTCGATCGATACCTCACAAGTCAGAAACCCGATCCAGTCAGGCAGCGGAAGAGGCAAAAGGGACGGAAACAGAGGGCTGAGGAGAGAGCTTTGGCGAGGAAATGTGTCATCACGGCAGTCAGGAACCTGAGATATGAGGGCTACTCCGCGGGGCAGGCGCGCAGCATGACTGCGGTGCCTAAGGTTGGTAACAAGAAGGTCAAGAAGACGCAGCTCTTAGAGTCAGAGGTTAGGAAACAGAAAGTGATTCAGGCTCCGGCGAAGAAGCGGCAGAAGGACAGGGAGAAGGCGGAATCACAAGCCAAGGCCGCAGAGGACGAGGAGGCGCTCAAGCAGCGGAGCTTGGAGCAGGCCTGGCAGGAGTCCAGGTACTCAGAAAGAAGCAGCGGCGCCTGATATGTTTTTGTAGAATTGGCCACGTCGCCTAAGACATCCTCGCATGTCTTAATAGAATTGGCAAACTCGCCAGAGACATCCTCGCATGTCTTAAGGAACGTTGCCAAATCGCCTGAAACATCAGTAGTTCTTTGGGCCTCTCAGCCATGTCATGGAACTCAGGAGTAACTCTCTACCATTGGTGTCTTCCGACGATTACGGCGACGACGAGCACGACGGGCTGTCGCACGGATATGTTTGTTTTGTGCGGGCGCTAAGATAACGCCACGGTGCGGGGTGGGGGCGATACCCTCGGGTGGGCCACCCTCTACGACGGCCGAAAAAAAAAAAAAAAAAAAAAAAAAAAATGCCTAAA